AATTGTTCCTCTTCGTAGCATTATTGATGAACAGTTACGGTCCAACGACTTTGCATTAAGGATGATCGCTTTTGGAAATATTAACTCGATCGGCCGTTCTTATAGTGGGATCAAGGAAACCAATTTTCAGATATTTGTGTATGCGTCTGCTGATGAAGCTTAAATTGAGCCTTTGTCTCCTGAATTTGTTGCCTTGTTGAAGAATAAAAGCTCGCCATTCAGGAACGAACTGTCCCTCATAGTTTATGGAGTTTGGGTTTATTATAATATTGTATGTCTTTGTATTAAAATATGTATGTATGTATTGTATATTGTATGTATTGTTTTGATCTTAAATGGAATAGTCATGTTGACAGTATCAATGTATCTAAAAGATTGTATTTTTTATATAAACTAAACCTCTATGCCTCTATGTTTACAAAGCTTAAAATTTAAACTTGAAAAATTGGAAACATGCAAATGTACGTATATATACGAATGCTAAAACTATGAACTATGAATTAAAACGTTTACATGTAGAACTTGCGATTATGAATGTGTTCATGTATCTATTAGTCTTAATTATTGGAAAGTCCTCAGGGATTAATGTGCAGACAGTGCAGTATTTGAGTTCAAATCCGGCAATAGTGCCGCGAAGTTTGTGATTTGGATCTTCAATGATTTCTGTATCCGTTCAATGTCTTTATTTACTCAGGTAATTTGGGATTCCGTAATGAAAAACGGGCGATGCATATTCTACTATCTCGGTCGGATGCAAGTACAATAAAAACAAATCATCTCAGCAGCGGGTACATTCGCACGTTTTAACTGACGTAAATTACAAACACTCCTTGTAAATCTTAACCATGTAATTCAGCTGAATAGCTGTATTAAGTTGGTATTTTTTTATTACTGTAAACTATTAATATATATCAAAATATTGTCGCAGAAAGTCACAGTCTATAGAATAGACCCTTCAATAAACCCTAAGACCCCTTGCCTTGCTTTATACGTTTTCCTGCCAGACAAATTCTGATTATGAATATTCATACTTGCCAAACTGAAATTTGAGAATTTAAACACACGTTGTTTGATGGTTTTACCCTATTAAAAGCGAATTGAGTCATTCGAGATCGCGCCTTTCAAGAGATGTTTTTGACCCTGTTTTGAAATATAAACAAGTAGGCGGAGCTTAATCAAACACGCTTGACAATTAGTTAAAGCGGCAATCCCTCTATTTATTAGGGATTGCTCGCAGTCTATGT